CACAACCACCACACAAAAGGTAGACAATATGTGCTGTTGTATCTATTTAAATAGACGAGTATGAATCCTCTCACATGAAAGAGTATTGTTTCCAAAATAAATTATTATTCAAAGAGAACTTGTATCAATATCCACGAGTTATTTTCAGGGATACCACATAAAAGGTTAAAAACAACAAACCAAAGGATATAATAAGTGCATGATGCTGCTGTAATCTATCCCTGTGGCACTGGCACCACATGAAGAAGCAACCGAAATGGAAGAAGAAGAAAGTTAAAAGAACTGGAAAGCCATACCGCATGGAGGTCCACAATGAAAAAGAAAGTATCGTATGTATTCTGCAACAACAGAAGCCACATTGCGAATTAGCATTACCATGTAAATACACAATATGCAAGTCTATTTTCCAAATCAAACAATTTGGTACTACCTGCAACAGAATCCAGTTTCTTATGGCTCCAAGATAATTCCCTAGGTGAATAGAACCCGTCGGCTGGACTCCAGACACTATCCTCTTTCTATAAATGGAAAACTCAATGAGATTGACCATAAATCTAATCTAATTACTATTCACATATGTTTGTGTGACAGACCCTTGTGCAAGCCAAAAGGAAAAAAAAACACGTAAAATTACAAGAATGTCTAAATCAAAGAGCCATAAAACTGTAACAACAGCCTTCCGAGCTAGAACACTCAACCTAGCCACTATCAATCACAATGCAGCCAAGTAATCGATGGAACATATACGACTAAGAATCTAGTAACGGTAAGGATTACTTTACAGAGCTCGGAGAAGTCTCTGGACCAGCAGATTGCAAGAGCGAAGCGCTACAGCAGCACCGAAAACCAGAGCCATTACGCGCGCTTAGAAGCCGATGTTGAGGAATTGAACTAGGTCTTTTCCAGCGCCTGATTTGAAATCCACCATAGCACCTGCTTCGGAAAATTAAAAAATAATTAAAAAAACGCACAAATGTGAAGCTTGTACTTGAAATTGAAGCCAGTGAGAGAGCATTAGAGAGAGCGAGTACAGTGAGGTTGCCAAGTGTGGAGAAGAGTTGGAGATGGTGAGGAAGTGAGAGAAGACCAAGCGACCCATGGCCTTGCCTTTTCGCGGCTTGGAGATTTTATCCTCCAAGCTCTTATATATGCCACAGCGAAGTGCTACAGAGCCTGATGACGACGGGTGAGGAAACCAAATTTGAGATATTAACGGGTGCGTGCTGCAAGTAAAAGCAGAAAATTTTCATGAGCGGTAATTCGGTAAAGATTTGCCAGTTACTTGCCTCCAAATGAAAGGGAGGCAATTAAACCGAGGGCTAACTACAAAAGACACCATGCTAGTTTGGTGTGGTTCTCAATATGGACTCCAGGGTATTAATTTTATCAATTTACACCCTTACGTTTGCAACATCGTCCAATTTCATCCTTCTGGTAAGTTGACCGTGTAATCAATCGTTAAATGCTGACGTGTCTATTGTGGGACCCACCTACTAACTAAAAAAATTTATTTAAAATAATAAAATAACATTCTAACAAAAAAAAACTTTTAAAAAATCAACTTAAAAAATCCCAGCCTCTCTTGATCCATATCGTCATTCACACCATCGTCTTTCTCTAATTCCTTCATCTTTTCTATCTTCCACCCACGAACAGGATCTCCGACCGACAGACCCAGCATCACTGCCTGCTGCCAAAAACCAGCGCAGACTACAAATTTGGAAAATTTCCACCCGCTGCCATTGTTAAGCTTTTTTTTCTTTTTTCTTTTTTAATTTTTTTTATTTAAAAACCAACCCAACAACTCCTCCCTCATCATTCTTCTTCCACTTCCTTCTCTTCCACTACCCCCGCCTCCAGAACAGATTCGCCATGGCCGCGCTCACAATCGCGCCTTCGACTCAAGGACGGACCCATTATAGCCCAGGTGTCTTGATTTGTTTTAGCCTATAGTAATACTCCTAGCCCACCTAAGCAAGCCCCACACACCTTCTTGCTCAGTCCCTTAACTAATGCACAGAGGGAAAAAAAAAATATGAAGAAAGGGCCAATCATCCCTGCTACATGCCAATTAACCATGCCCTTCAATGCTTAATTAAAGCAAACCAAATTTATCTTCAATTATTAATCTTCTTTGATTGTCTTAATTTTTTGATGTTGAAATTTGGGGACTTTTTAGAATTTATGAAGTATCAATTAGGGATTTATAATTTTTTATTTAAAAGAATTCTATGTAATTTTTTTTTTTCTACTTGCCCAAAACATTTGATTGTACAGGTTTTGTAATTAAAAATGAACAAATGAAAGTAGGTCAGCCCTTTATATTATAGTCCCCTAAAATTCCAATATATTTTTAATTATAATCATTCATGTTTTACGCCATAAAACTTTAATCCTAAAAATTTCTTCATTTTTGGAAACAAAAAAATAGCTTATACATTTGTAATTGTTTAATTAGTATGAGTTTATTTCTTTTGTTGGTTAGTGTGAGTTTTTGTTTTGGTTAATTAATATAGGTTTTGTGTTTTTAAAAAATTGGAAATCAGTCCCATTGATTATGTTCCTCCCTTCAAAGCTTGTATGTAAGCTAAATCTAGACCACCCTAATTTGAAATCCTGGGTCGTCCTGCTTCGACTGTGGATCCCAAAGAATAAGAGTCACAACGTTCAAGACCCATATGATGTCAAAGACCCAAAAAACCCAGAAATAATGAAAATGCTAGTGGCGAAAATGCAGATGGAGGAAGCGAAATTGAACAACGGGATTTAAGCCCCAAAAGTGCCCTTGCAGATCGGCCAGAAATAAAAAATGGAGGAAGAGAAATTGAACAAAGGGATCTTAAGCCCCAAAAGGGCCCTTGTAGATCTGCCTAGAAATAAAAAATGCAATGGCTCAATTTAGCTAGGGGTGGTTGCGGTTCGGTAACCGCGAATTTTTACTCAAACCGCAAACCGACCGACTATTTGCGGTTTGGTGATTTTTGAAACCGCAAACCGACCGCGTTTTGCGGTTTACCGCATTGCGGTTGCGGTCGGTTACCGCGTTCTCAAGCATTCACAAAAATATAAATTCACAACCTAAATAAATAAATACACAACCTCAATTTCTCAAACATATATAAATTCACAATCTCATCAACTTCTCAAGCATTCACAACCTAAGAAAATTAAAGTTACAATTTCAAGCATTCCAATTAAAGTTAAACTTCTCAAGCATTCCAATTCCAAATCCTTTAAAGTTATAAACTGGTGAGTGGATTTGAAGAACCCCGTTGTGTTGTTTGAGCACCAATGTTATTTACAAATAAAACAACATAGTGTAGTACATTTTATTATAAGAAGAAGCATAAATAACATTAGTATAAATAAACTAATTACTTACAAGTTGTCATATGTTCTATTTCCTTGTAAAATTCAACTTCATCATCCGTGTGGCTATACTTTGCGGTTTGCGGTAACCGCAAGTTTTGAAAATCAAATACCGCAACCGCAACCGCAAATGCGGTTCGGTTCTTAATACCGCAAATGCGGTTCGGTTTACCGCGATTGCGGTTTCATTGCGGTAAATTATCGGTTGGTTTTTGCGGTTTTTCGGTTTTTCGGTTTAAAATGCCACCCCTAAATTTAGCTGTGTCCTTCAAACCTCCAAATATCTGCACTGCAATTTCGGAAAAATTAAGTGGTGGTGCATGTGGTTTCAACAGCTTATGTAAACATGAGAATGAAAGACAAATTGTTTGCCAGTGGCCACAGAATTACACATCCATTGATACAAATGATGAGTGGAAAGCATGCAAGCAAAACTTCGTTCCCCAAAATTGCGATGAAACCTCACCAGAAACACACCATTTCGGGTTTCAAGAGGGGCTGGGATTTTTAAAGTTGATTTTTTAAATTTTTTTTAAGAATGTTATTTTATTATTTTAAATAAATTTTTTATGTTAGTAGGTGGGTCCCACAGTAGACACGTCAACATTTAACGATTGCCTACAAGGTCAACTTAACGGAATGGTGAAATTTGATGATGTTGCAAACATAAGGGTGTAAATTGATAAAATTGATATCTTGGAGTCCATATTGAGAACCACCCCAAACTAGCGGAGTGTCTTTTGTCGTTAGCCCTTAAACCAATTTTACATCTCAAAATGTCACACGCAAATGAAAAAGTGTAACATTATGAATGAGATTGATTTGACTTGCATCTCATTTTAAAATATTTAAATAAATTTAAAAGTGCACTGTATTAAAAAATGATTAACATAAGTCTATAAAATTTTAGATGTATTCAATTTAAAATCCATTCAAATTTAGAGGTATTCAATCATAATTTTAAAAAATTAGGCGTATTAAAAATCATTGACTTTAAAAGAAAATACAATAAATGGTAGATTTCGATTGATTTTAGACTTCATTATAAGCCATAACAAATCTTTGTTTTCCCTATAGATTTTGATAAAATATATTTTTTATTCTCAAGATATAATTTCACCACATCTACTACCACCATCTTGTCATGGCTATTGCCACCACCACCCCTACCACTCCTCCTCCACCACAATAACTGCCACTACCACTGCCACCATCCCCCATAACCACCACTACTTGACATGATTATTACTGCCACTCTCTTTGTCATCATTGATGCCTACCACCACCAACATAAAACATAATAGCCTATCACTATTTCGAATTTATAAAAGTTCGTAAAAACTATCAAACTCTATGATAAGATTCTAACAAATTTCTTCAAAATCCTTATGAAATTCAATTAAAGCATATGTGGAGTTCATGAAAATCAATCAAATCCATAGATTCCTAACTACTTTAAAATTCATTGAAATCTTAATTGAATACATATCTTCCTTCATAAGCAATTAAACAATTGTTCTACATTCTTACAAATACCAAATGGAAATTCATTTGTAAATTGAATAAATAATTTAGTCCTTTTGTATTAAATAAGTTGATATCAATGTATTTTTGGTGAAACATAACAGTAAGTTGCGATAATTAACAAGAAAGTGTCATGTGTCAAAATATTAATATAATTACCATAGGCGATTTAATTTTCAAATAGATAAATCCTTGGTTGAGTAAGTTAGACGTAAAAGACAAAAAATAAAGTAATTTATAACTTTTACGGGGAAAGAGAAATTTCAAGGTTAAAAACAAATTAATTAATTTTTTTTCACCCAATTCGGTGTGTGACAGATCCGCACCGCCATGACAAAGACACTGAACACCTGGTCAGTGAAGAAGCTAAACTAGAATTCGTAAGAGCGGGAGAAAAGGAAAATTGGTGGCGGAAGTGTTCACGGTGGCGGGTAAGCAACCACCTGAAATTTCTCTGTTTCTTCCAAACCAAACCCAAAGGAAACAAAGCCAATTCGCACAGTGAAGATAGAAATGGAAGATGATCGCATTCTAGCGAGAGAGAGGCAACAGATGGAGGAGATTCGAGAGCTCGATCTCGAGGAACTGCAGGTCGAAGAGGTCGATGACCTCCACGACTCATCCGGCGACGAACGCGACCTCACGTAATTCTCGTTTTCCTCTTCTCCTCCAACTTTATCACCATTTCAATTCATTTACTGTTAATTTGGGGCCTAGGGTTGTTGAATTTTCCACGGGGAATAACACACTCAAATTGACATTTTATGTTTTTTAAAGCTATTTTTATCACTGCTGTTATTTGATTGTGTCATTTGCTATTGACTTTTGTATGGAAATTTCAACTGAAGTGGTCGTGGCTCGTCTGATGAATATACCTTCAACAACTGTTTGGCTTCATTGCATACATATCTTGGTGGTAGGAAATTTTGGTCTTTTACTGGCTTTTTTTTTATAAAGAAAAAATTATATTTGTTTGTGTCCAACTGTACACAGTACATTTAAAGAATTGATGTTTAGTTGTATCTTACTTGCAACAGAGGTTGAAGACACTCATCATAGGGTGGCTTTTCTAGATGGGGGGGCCATCTTGAATCTCCCTATTTTCTATCTTGAAGGTACTAATCTATATGGTTTTACATTTGATCATTGATGTTATTTTCAGCTCCAGTCTCTCACCTTGGTAGCGAATACATTTAGCATTTTAGTGTTAGCCACAGGTCAGAGTAGTCTGGTGCAAACTGTAAAGTCATACCCATCTTGGTGGACGAGAAATAAAAAAATGAATGTTTTATTAATCTGAAAGTATTCTGGATTAACAGGAAGTGGAGATGGTATCTCTGAGCAATTGCATTCGGTTCTTTTAGATATTCAAAATGATCTAGCGTTTTTTGAATGCTCTCTGTCAGTAAAATCGTTTCAGAGATATGTCAAAATATTCCATGCAAGCAGCATTTCACTATTGCCATCTTTCTTAATATCATTGTGTCTAAGTTTTTAGCTGCTTTAATAGCATTACCTCACAATTAATGAAATCAACTAACTGGTGCCCCTACACGCTTTAGTCCTAATGATAATGACCAAGATGAATGGCTTAGGAGTAAAAAGAAACAAAGTTAAATCTATTGTCAATCTTGTTTTCAGATTGCCTTCTTTCTCATCCTCATATTCTCGTATGTTTTCATTCATTTATTATTTAATATCTTCAGAGAACTTAGATTTTGATTCGTGGTATATGCAGGAGTTGTCCTGTTCCCAGAGGCGACCCTTCCCCTACGAGTAATTCAACCCAATTTTGTAGTTGCTGTTGAGAGAGCGCTAACCCAAGTTGATGCTCCTTATACTATTGGTGTGGTAGGTGAACTCCTGGTGACAGCCAAGGACTTGTTTTTACTATGAATTGGATTTCTTTAGGTAGTATTTCGTTGTAACTTTTTCCTGAAATTTTGTGTAGATTCGGGTTTACAGAGATCCTGATAATGGAAGAATAAGGTTTTCCAATATTGGGACAACTGCAGAGGTATATTTAATTTGTCATACTGCTCATATGTAGAAACTATTATGTTTTAATCTATGCTATTTCATTTATAAGCACAAGATTATACTACTATTTATATTTTTCTTTTACAGATTCGGCAATATCGACGATTAGAGGATGGCTCACTGAATGTGGTAACTCGTGGCCAACAGAGATTTCATCTAAGACGCCGTTGGATTGATGTGGAAGGAGCGGTTAGAATAATTTTGTGTTTGAGACACATTGATCAATTGCCGCACTCTTTTATTTTTTTTGGTCATCTATGTAGTAGCTTATTTGGTGTAAAATTTTCATCTGTCAGCCATGTGGGGAAGTCCAAATCATCCAGGAAGATATACCAGTGAGGGCCCCACGGGATGCATTTGGAGCTGTCGCACCATTTAGTAAACCTGGAGGCCATCATTTCGCACGTATGCCTTCACACAATTCTCATGCAAAGTCAAATGAATCTATGGACGTGGACAATGATTCTGAGGCAAATTCAGATGAAAGCTTTGAGAGTGCACTTTCATTGACTGAAAGGGAAATTCACCAATCTGTGGTTGATTCCTATTATGGATCTGATACAATGGATGAATCAACAACTACAAGCAGTGATGATGAGAAGTCACAATCCCAACTTCAAGGATCACAATCAAAAGACTCTGATTCCACAGATTCATTACATTCATGCCCTGAGAATAATAATGTTGATTTGGGGAGCAGTTCCAAGTCGGACATGCAATCCTGCAAACAGAAAGAGCCAGATAGATGTTGGAGAAATACTGGCTTAAAACAGTTTCGTAGAGCTCCAAGGGCATTCTGGCCCTATTGGGTATATCGCATGTATGACTCCTATTGTCTTGCTGAAAGAGCTGCAGGTACGTTTACTTTGCTTTGGATTCACATACAACATCCTGCCCAATCATTTATAAAGAGTGGTGATTTCCCCACTCCAATTTTATCCACTTACACTCCTTGTTTAGTAAATTGAGTGAAAAAGGAATTTTATGGTTCAGTTTTTGGAGTGTGAGTTTCCTGTATGTGTTATCCTGGTCAAGTGGGTTGTGTCATCTGTCAACTCTGTTATATGATTCTTTTTTGATGTATTGCAGATATGTGGAAACAGATAGTGGGGGCACCAAGCATGGATAGTCTTGTGAAGAAACCCGATCTTTTGTCATTTTATATTGCTAGTAAAATTCCTGTATCTGAATCTACAAGGCAGGAGCTTTTGGAGATTGACGGCATTTCATATAGGCTGCGTCGAGAAATTGAGCTGCTTCAGAGTGTTGATCTTATCCAGTGTAAAACTTGTCAGGTAATGTTCTTGCTTCGGAACTGTGTGTGCATGCATGCATAAATACATATCATTTGCCTATATGTAGTTCTATTAACTTGGATGTGCGTGCGCACACATGTTGTACAATGCAGACTGTCATCGCAAAGCGGAGTGATATGCTGGTAATGTCAAGTGAAGGTCCTCTTGGTGCCTATGTGAACCCAAATGGTTATGTACATGAGATAATGACTCTCTACAAAGCAAATGGCTTGGCACTTATAGGGCGAGCCGCGAGTGAATACAGCTGGTTTCCTGGGTATGCGCTTGTGCCTTAATATTCTTCTGATTCTCTGACCAAGAACATCAATTTATTCTGGGGTTGAATAATATTCTTTGTATAGTCTACTGGCTAGAGAATCATATATTGGGATTCAGAGTTATGTAATTCACAAAATTTGAGAGTCAGTAAAATTAAAACAAATAAAAAGAATAAAAAGTATGTCACAATTATACGGAATGACTTATCAAGTATGAATAATAATATGGTGTCTAGCTGCAATGATAGTGAATTTTAGGCAATTGTTTGATTATAGTATTCACGCCCTTTTGAAGTCCCTGGGACTTCAGACTGTCAATCTATGCTGTATAGTGAGTGACTTAGGTTTCCGTAAAGCTTCATTATTTCCTCTGATTTGATTGTGATCTTAGAATTTTAGTATTATGGAGTTTGCTAAGTCGCCAGTTTTCCCACTCTTGCAGGTATGCATGGACAATAACAAACTGCGCCACCTGTGAAACCCATATGGGTTGGCTCTTTACAGCCACAAACAAGAACTTGAAGCCAAGATTGTTTTGGGGGGTTCGGAGTTCCCAAGTTTCTGATGACCTGCACTAATGATAATATCTCAAATTTGTAGTTCCTGCCCTGAATTTTCCTGTAGCCCTGTAATGAGTTTGATTTGTATATAGCTACTTGTGCCTATCTGCAATTTTATACAATTTTTGTCAATCTAAGATGAACCGTATATGGTATACCTAGGAGTAACCAATAATTCAGGTATTCAAATATCGCAAATGTAGTTCTCGTGATCGTGCAGAATCTTTGCTGGGTTGAGAACCCTTGTCAATTTGTCCATGTAAAGTTCATTGTCCAAGAATGGATCAAGTCATCAAATCGTAAGAGGCATGTTTGTAAAGCTTCTTCGATATTGAAACTTATTCATTTGATGTTGAATTTGAAAGAAAAAAGTAGTTTTTTTCCTTTTCTGCAGTCTTTTTCTTTTTCTTTTGGCAGAAAACGAAAAGTACAATCTTACTAAATTGGAAGAAAAATAAAAGAAAAAATAACAAAGTCCAATGAAATCAATTATTTTGATCAGAGAAATTGCAACTACAGAAACACTGGAAATTGATAGCTTCTGTAGACTGGGGATGTATATGTAGCTTGGAAATTCAACGGTAGCTTCTGTAGAGTGGGCTGTACATGCAGCTCTCTGCATACTTAACCAGATCTTTCGGCCGAGGCAGATTAGAAGCCAGACCTAAAAAGAAAATTGAAAAATCCTAGGATTTAGTAAATTGTGTTCATTAGGCAACGCTTGTATGAACATGACCTATCAGAAAGAAACTTACCAAGTTCATAAACCTTGGCAGCGACTTTAGCAGCAATGTTGGCTGATATCTTTCTGATGTTGGTAAATGGTGGGTAAATCAATCCTTTGTCATAGTTTTCCTGGGTAACTTGGGCAGCCAAAGCTTCAGCTGTTGCACAAGGTTAGAGATGGAAGAGGTTATATAATGAGGGTAAGTAGATTATCAATGGTAAAGTATAGCTTATTTTTTAGTACTTACAGGCTGCCAAAAGCATGTCGTCATGTACACGAATGGCACCCGCCATGATCAATCCCAAACCGAAACCAGGAAATATGTAGGCATTGTTGGCCTGAATGACATGGTTAGGAGAAAGTAAGGTCCTTTCGTCCTTCATAAATTTCAATGAAGAGAGTGAACAAGGAGATAAAAAAAATTCCTTGAGTTGGAAGGTACAAACCTGGCCAGGCACTAAGAGTTTCTTCTCATATTCAACTGGATCAAATGGGCTTCCACTAGCAAAGATTGCTCGACCCTTCGGATAAAAAAAAAGGATATCATGATCAAACAGAGCTCTGCTAGTTCATCTAGCCACAAAACTGCCCAAGGAAAACTAAAGGGAAAAAAGAAGAAAGAAAAAATGAAAAAAAGGATTAATTACCTTGGTCCATGCGTAAGCTTCCTCAGCTGTACACTCAGATTGTGATGTTGGGTTGGAAAGAGCAAGAATGAGAGGTTTCTGCATGCCAATCACCAGATCAATGTCACTTAAACTAATCATCATATATGAATATAATGGAGGAGGGAGGAGGAGAGAAAATCAACCTCATTTAAGGATGCCATGGTCTCAACAACCTCCCTTGTGAATGTCTTTCCCACACCAGATGTTCCTATTAACACTGTCGGCTTGATTGCCTGATGAATAGGGGCATTTTGTAAGATCACAGGGGGAAATTATTTTCTGTTTTTATGGATATTCTGGCATTAAAACATTATTTCGCACCTTCACGGCGTCTACAAGTTCCTTGATGGGTTCATGGTCATGAGCCCAAGGCTTCTTAAAATGTTGAAGTGATCCTATGCGAGATTTAACAATCAGTCCCTGCAATGAATATGATACCATGGTTATATCCAAAAAGAAAAAGAAAAGAAACAGGAAAAGAGAAAGCTATGAGAATGTAGATACTGAGTAAATGCATATATATTCTGAATGAGGAAGTACCTTAGAATCCACAAGCCAAACTTTCTTGCGGGTTTCTTCCAGTGGAGCGTTGGTCTGCAAAAAAATTAACACATTGTTAATAAAAAATACTTAGCTGAAGAAAGTGTTTTGGGGAAGAGGGGATGTAAGAAAGTTAATACCTTTTTTGATATCTCAAGAGCTATAAGCTCTGCTATTCCAGTTCCAGCCTTGAGTAGCAAAGCAGCAAAAGTGTTAAACAATATCCAAAAACCAGAGCATTTATGAATACTGTAAGTTTGAATGCTACTATCTGAGCCTCACCTCTCCAGCGCCCAGAAATAAGAAAGTATGATCAGCTAATTGTCCCCCAAGTAATTTCAAGGAAGATATGAGCCCTGCTAAGACCACAGATGCTGTTCCCTGAACCAAATTGAAAGAAACTAGTTTGAAAATGTTCCTGGAAGAAAGATTGCTAACTGTCAAAAGAGTCTAATATGTTACCTGTATGTCATCATTAAAGACAAGGTGAGTTTTGCTGTACTTGGACAGCAGTTCAAATGCATTGTGGTTTGCAAAATCTTCAAACTAAAAATTAAGCAAGAAATAAACAGCAAAGATTAGTGGGTTATTCAGATAATGAAAAAACCAGGTGGACAGAACTCAGAAGTTCCACAAACTAGATAACATGAAAGATTAGAAACACTTCTACCTGAACTAGGACTTTCTCCCCATAGTTCTGCTTAACAGCAGTCATGAATTCCTCTAGAAGCTCTGCATATTCCTAAATCACAAAGGTAAAAGAAACCACTTCAATTTTACATAATTTCATACTACATATTGTCAAAAGAATTAGCAACTAAAAAAGAAGATAAAGGTGAAAAGATAAAACATTAAACCTGTCCAGTTGCTCTCTTTTGCTTAATCCCTATGTAAAACTCATCATTCAGCAACTTCTCGTTGTTTGTGCCGACATCTATGGTTATAGGCAAGCACTGCAAACAATAAATGCAATCTGTAAACTTTCTGGAAGTATAGGAATAGTTTCTCTTGCTCATGTTTTTATACTCAGCTAACTTATCCAGGTCAAATATGGTTCATAACACTTTTTGAGACACTTGCATGAAGAAGTCATCAACTGCTCAGCATAAACAGAAATAAAACCGCAGGCCAGCCAAGTTCAGGCCAACTTGACCTATGAAAATTAATGCAAATGTTTGTCAAGGAAAGGGGGCAGCAGTTATGGAAATGCTTACTGCTGAAGGAGGAACTCCTCCCAGTGCTGTATACAAAGAAAGCTTCCCAACGGGAATTCCCATGCCCTGGAAAATTCGGAACATTTATGTCAACCAAAGTGAAAATAAATTCAACTAGAGACAAAGGCAAAATATACATGGTTCAAAGCAACAGTTTCAACATAGAACAGAACCTAACACACATACCTGGCAGCCAAGATCCCCGAGCCCCAAAATACGCTCACCGTCAGTCACAACAATAACTTGAATGCCCCTCTCCGGCCAATTCTTTAGTACTTCAAGGATCTTTCCCCTGAAAAATTTCATCATTCAATATATGCTTTGACAGCTATGCAACTAATTATGAGAGTTGAAGTTCAAAACGTTATCAGATGGCCGTACTTCTCTCTCAAACTGATGTAAAGACCCTGAGGATGCCTGAAAATGCTCCCATATTTTTGGCAAGCCTCACCAACTGTTGGGGTGTACACAACAGGAAGCAGTTCCTCAACATTATCAATCAAAAGCTTATAAAACAGCCCTTCATTTCTCTCCTGTACAATACAACAAGAAAGCCACAAGAAAAAGATGAAAAATTAATAACCCTCTATAATGTAATTTGTATTGATCTGAAGTTTCAATTGTTTCAACTGGTACAAGCAATTAATTACCTGAAGATCCATCATGGCAATGTACCTATGCAATGGAACTTCATACTGGCGAAGATTCTGTATCAACTTCTTTTCCTGATCACCAAAATTATTACAGAAAGTTTAGCAGAAAATAAACACTAAAAAGGAATCATTCAACAGTTTAATTGGGTAAACATTAGGATGAAAATGAAGTTTGAAGAAATGTCATTTTGTAACCTGAAGCTCCTGAGTCAGGATGGCTGGAGGCAGAAGGCCGCGCAAGTAATGAGCGTCTCTCTCCTTCTCTGTGAAGGCAAGTCCTTTGTTGTAGCGTGGATCGCGCAGCAAAGTATATCCACTGTAACACATTTGGATTGCATATGATGCACAAAAGAATTAAAATTCTGCATATTCAAGTTTCTGGCAATTGATTCATTAACTAGAAACACGGTTTCAAGGGCATGAAATGAAGAGAGAAAAACATCTAAAGGCCAAGTGAAATCTAAGAACAAGCTGGGGAAAAAGAAGTCAGCCCTACAAATTTAAGTTCCGGTACAATTTTCTGAAGAGAAAAAACAACTCTGCTCATACCCAACACATCCATTGTCTCTGAGATCCCTATAAATCTGAGAAGAATAATTTTGGATAATTTTCTCATTGGAATCTAAAACAAAGTTTTTTCAGAGAAACCAAGGTCTACCATTTGATCTATAGCCCAAACCTGCAAACTAAATTGAGCCTTAAAACACGAATTTCCAGACACTTATCTAAAAAGGAGCAAAACTTTTATAAATTTTTTTAAAAAATAAATAAAAAAAAACATGTAGAGACAACTATGATCAGTTCCAGACAAAATGCAAAAACACAATTTTTTTTAATAAAAAAAAAACCATTTATAACTATGCCATAACGGTTAGAAAAGAGCTGTCTGTGTCACCTTGCAACGGAGGCAGTCCATGGTGTGAGGACCTGATCCTCCGTGGCACAATCCTCACCATACACGTCCTCAACACCTCCACCAAACCCAGCCTTGCTTTCAGTATCAGCCACTGAGTGCCCACCGTTCCTTATCTCCTTCAATAAGCTCCCCATCAAGGCTCCAACCTTTTGCTCTCTTACTAGTCTCTTCTGCAAAAAACACAAGGCTTACAGAGCAACAATGTAGAGCTGCAATGGCAGAAGCAGAAAACCAAAGCACCAACACAGGCAATTTGGCAAAGCAGCAGACTTGTTTTGCAGAGACCAAAAACCAAACCCCACCTTTTATAGCAAACTCAAGAGTAAGATTTGGGTTTATTGCCTACCTTTTTGGATTCACCATTACAATGGACTGAAAAACTAGGTAGGTTTCAAACTTTCAATGTCAAAGAGAAGAACCCACGTGTACAAAAGTTTTCAACTAATAAAAAAATGCCAACTTTTATTGAAAGGGCATGTCAGCCTTGCAATAACATGCCATAGTTTTATTATACGCGTACCAGGAAATTGTGCCTGCTCAGCGACATCATATTGGAGGTCTGCAAATATTATGTCCCCTCCACGACAGAGTTTGTAGAGAGGGAAAAATCAATTAAATTAGCATCATTATTTATTGAGCTCACATATTTGATCAACTATTAATTCGGTGGAAAATAGTATTGACTTGCACACCAAAAGTCTTAAGTTTGAATCACGCGGTATCATAATTGTGTGTGTGTGAAAAATCCTTCTACCATCTAATTTAAACTTACGTTTATATTCAATATTCGGACAAATATATTGAAATTACTTTTTTGTTCCTTGTGCATGATTTTCCCAATTCATGATATGCATCTTCTATGTTGGTTATGGTCATCAATGTGCTGCGACAGAAAAAGATAAATTATTTAGTGAAATCGCAGCCACTAAATTAAAAAAGCTGTATCTTGGCTGCCATTAAACCAAACCCTTTTCTTTGGTCGCTGTCCTGTTATTATATCTATAATTTGTTGTTTTATATATAAACTCAACAACCCTACCGCAGTTGTTTATTGTTCAAATGTTATGTTCGTCTAAAGCATGGCCTTAAATTTGCCGACCTAACCACTTAGCTGTAAGAGATTGAAATGCCATGAAATAAAAAACCACTCTCCTCCTTGTTGCTTAAAAGCTCAAATATTACTGCACATATGCTATAATGTCATGATTTCTTTGTTTGATTATTTTGCCAAAAATTGACTTGACCCCCCCCCCCTCCCCCCCTTCCATTCGGTGTGCCTGTAGTTTAGCCTTTGCTTTCTATGCAATTAATTTCTCCTTTTTGTATTTCCTTCAAAACCCATGATTTTGTTTTTTCATCAACAGGAGAGAGGAGATTCGAACTCATGAGCTCGTTTAATATCGAAAAAAGAAAAACTTTTACTTTCTAGTCTACTCTCTTCTTTTAAAGTAAGAGATTTATTCAACAAATGGAAATATATCAAAGAAAAATGGCACGTACGCCACGAAAGAAATTTTTGAGACATAGAAATTGACTGGCTTAGTCGTATAAAGAAAAAGCAAGAATACTTTTGCAGCGTTCTTTGTGGGTAAGAATGAGAAATGAATTTCTCGCATTCATATGCGCAAGTTGTCATTCTATTGTGAGCTAATACGCGTTTGAACTTTGTAATCGTGAAAGAACAGCACCATAATTTGTGTATTTTTCACTTAGACCAGTCAAAAAAATTCCTTTCCCTTTTCTTTGGACATTATTTTTAATCAAATTTGACGAATACTAGTAACACATAAATAGTATATGGAATCACCCGCAAACAACTAATAAAATTTAAAATGAGCGGATCCAAATTCATTTCGAAAGTTTGTCAGTAATCATTAAAATTTAAATAAATAAATATTTTTAAAAAAATCCTTTTTGTTTTCACATGCAACTACTCGAACATCATCTCGGCTTATAAGAAAAGGGTGTCTTGTGATTATGTGCTACAAAATTGTTCTCCAATACACTTAAAAAATCTAGAAGAGAAGGCATCGCACCTAACACAGATCGCATGATTCTATGAATATGAAGGGTAGGCAACATATTCAAACAGTTCATACTCGCTTTCTTTCATGGTTGATGGCTGCGTGATTTTCTTTGCTCTGTTAATAAAATAGTTGTTGGCACATCCGGAACTACCCCAGCAAATTTATCAATTCTTGGCCGATCAATTCGTCCTAATTACCATGCTGGTTGGAGACTTGGACTCTGCAGCCATCTCTGAAACAAGTAATACGACATGTAGTTTATTATTCAAATCGCGACCAATATATTCACTCTCACATAGTATCAAATTATTATTATGTTACATGTGCGCACTATTATTGATAATAAATATAATATATGTATCTGTGTCATGTGTGTGAGTTTAGTGTATATATATATAATATGTAATTATCAACATTGTACAACGGCGTATGCCTAATGGTTGCATATTATTTTTCTAAGAAAAATCTTAGACTAGAATGGGACAAGAAAGTGTCAAATCCCTAAATTTGTTGTGGTTATGTTATGCTGACCTAATGAGATATATCTTATGGAAAAAAAAAAAAATTTAATTCATTCTTTGTTGTTTGAACGTTAAAGCATTAATATATTATATATATGCATGTAAAACAAATGAAACAATTATTATGAGAAACTTGTACATCCAAGTTGGTGGGATTTTGATAATTCTCCAAATAAAATATGAGACAATCAAAAAAATTGACCCCAACAAACAAGTAGGTTTTGAATGCTGATATATTATATATATATATATATTCCTATACTCGTGTTTCATAATTTAGCTGCCCTTTGTTCATGAGAAATGAGGCTTGGGAATGAGAATTCAATTGCTTTCCCATGTTTGGTAAGTCCAGACATGGGAAATGGTTTCCTGGCACATGAGAAAGTAAGGGGGAAAGTGAATCCCTCCTCTTAACTTGAGTTTTGTTTTCCCTATGAGGCTTGGGAATGAGAATTCAATTGCTTTCCCATGTTTGGTAAGTCCAGACATGGGAAATGGTTTCCTGGCACATGAGAAAGTAGGGGGGAAAGTGAATCCCTCCTCTTAACTTGAGTTTTGTTTTCCCTTTATTTGATTTAATATGGGTATAATTGAAAAATTATACAAACTTTATTTTCCATTCATACTCAAAACAAACATTGGAAAGGAAACAAAGTGAAATCTCTCAGTTACTTTCCCGACATTACCAAACGTGGGAAAATAATCTTCCATTTCCATTTCTTGGGAAATGACATAGAAAAATGATTTCTCCTCAAATCTATTCCGTGAACCAAATAGGGCATAAGTGCTGCCACTCCGACCTTGCATTCATCCTTCATGCTTAGATAACTACTAATGATTGTACTCGGGTTAGGTTTCATGTCCTCCATTTTTTGAATGTTGATTATAAATAAAGTCCTCTCATACCATTGAGATTTCTTTATAATAAAAAAAAAAAAGGCGATCCAATCATCAAATCTGCATAGACGTTGAAAAAGAAGAAGAAAGACTAACGATATTAAGTTGCACGTTAGTTGAAAATTGGAGTTTTATTTAAAAAATGATATATGTTTTTTTGATATAAATGATAATCTACTCTAAACAGAAATATCAGTCAAAAGCCGCCGGTTTCCGGTATTTGCAGTTTAAATGCACAGCACTACATATTTGCCAAAGAGGGTTAATATTGGTAAGATATAAATTGCAACAATGTTTCATAATATATATAATTGTTATTCCAATTTATAACAACAGTTCGCTGTAGCCCAATAAATTGGATTGAGTTTATCATCTGGGTTCGAATCCCGGCAGCGGAAAAGCTTTTATTTTTTTTTTGGTTTGAACCACGAGGTGGTCCTGGATGGGCCCCAACTATGGGTGGCACCTTTAAGCCTTAACCACAACCCAGACTAATCCCCGCTCACACCGGGTCGGCCCGTAAGGGGTAAAGTGCTGGCCAAAGTGGTGACTCCATACGAGAGCAGGGATCGAACCCCTGACCTTCTCTTAAGGAATGAGAGTGCCGAACCACTCACACCAACCACCTTGGTTGAAAAGCTTTTATTTTTATTTTAAATAATTTTCCTTATCTTTTTTGTTTGCCTAATAGTTTTCATTTATATAGCTTTTTATTCCCATTAATAGCATCCAATCCGTTGTAGTCCAATAAATTGGATTGAGTTTATCATTTGGGTTCAAATCCTGGCAGTGGAAAACCTCTTTTAATTTTTTGATAATTTTCTTTAAAAAAAATAAAATTATATGTCTAATAATGTTCATTTATATTATTATATTTCCCATCAATAGTATCCAATCTGCTGTAGCCCAATAAAATGGTTTGAGTTTATCATCCAGGTTCGACTCCCGGCAGCGGAAAAACTTTTTTATTTTCAATAATTTAATTTTTATCTGTTAATTATATGCCTAATGATACAACTTACAACAGACCATACATTAAGCTAAACAATGCTAATTAATTAGCAAAACACAGCAAGTAAAGTATGGTACTCCAATATCTGAATTTCAAGTACAAACTGCCTCTTCCACCCCAGCTCATATTTTTTCACCAAATCATCCAAACCCCACCCCACTCCACAGGATCAGGTTCCCATAAATGGACAGGGAGCCTGAACACTCTTCTGGGCTGGGCTGGGCTTTGAGTTGTCACCATATCAATTCAGCCTGTCTTCACTTTCCAATGTGAGAAAGCGAAGTCCATAAAAAGGCAGACACAGCAGACATTCCATTCCATGTCAAACTTGAAAGTACAGAACAGTGAGCTCTGTTTGAAGACAAAAAAAATCAAAAAAAGAAATCAGAACAAAAAGGTACTTGGTGTACGAAGTTCTAGGGTTTTCCATTAGAAAGGGAGAGTGGGAAATGAATCAAATATACAAAGTTTAAAGTTAGGGTTTCAGAGAGAGAGAGAGAGAGAGAGAGAGAATGGAGCGTCTTCGTCCAAGACACAGAGAGGTTCACATTGGCTTTACAAAGGCCGAGGTAATGAATAAATTTCTCTTCCTTCTCCACCTTTTTCTATTAAATTCATTTATTTTTCCTTTATCATTATCTGGGAATTGCTTGTTTATTGAAAATTACTTATCATCCTGCTTCTGCGGTCTTCTTTTGAAAATATAGACCGTCTAATGTGATTTACGTTGTCTGATTTCCATGTCTTGAAGAATGCCATTATTAATAAGTCAGTAGAAAACTCGCATGCTCACTCAATACAGTGGAATTCAATCATTAATTGGAGATTATCTGTTGAAATTAATTGCGCTTTGCTTTTATTTGGTTTTTTCCACCAACATTATGAACAGACTCAGAAAATGGAGAGATTGCTAAGGGAATTAGGAGAACAAGTGCTGGAGCGACAATTTTGTCAAAATATTGCAAAATGTTTTAAGTGAGTTTCATTTCATGGTTACTGATTCTTCTTCGGAGACATTTTTGTCCCTACTCTAAGTCTTGCTTTGGCTTGTTATGCTTATGCAGTCGCTCCGCAGGTCGTGCTGGGAAACCGATTGTGAAATGGACCGAGGTTGCACATTTCATTCGCTCTCTCTTCCTTTACTTTTATTGCAGTATATCTGTATAATACCATGATATTGTTGTTGCTATTGTTACCATAAGGTGTCCTTGATTAATCATTTTTAGAGCCCTACTCTGTTGCAATTGTCTTAGGTGCAAAGTTGGTTGCAGAATAGAGCGCAAGAGTTGCCAAACGTGTCCAAAAATATCTCTGAGCAACAGGGAATTCGCCCTTCGAATAAGGCACTTGGAAGTTCTGAAATACCTAAAGGTGCTTCTCATAACTTCTTGTTGCTTTTATGTCTAGGCTGTAGTACTATGCAAGCTTGTAAGGCTTTTGCAAACTGGTTAAATCTGATTTTTGTATGGTGAGCTCATTTATTATAGCCAAAATAGAGAAATAGTGAACCACAAACCAACCGAGCTAGTTGAAGTTTTGAACTGTATTATATAAATTTGTCATTCTATTACCAGCCAGCCACTGAATGTCATATCTAATAAGTTATTTCAAGTTTGAACTGTTTCTGTTTCACATAATATTATTCACATATCATTTTATTCCAATTTTACTATTGTGCATTTGAAAGCAGAAGAAAAGACCGGAAACATATCAGAGTTGGAATTTGAGGCAAGGTCATCAAAAGATGGGGCATGGTTAGTATACAAACAAGGGTGACTTTGTCATTGGATTTCTTGGTGGTCCTTTATGTTCAGTTCATCAGTTTCTTGTTATTACTACTATAAGCTCTAACTTGTTGGCTATTAGCGTATTTTATGGTACACCTCTTAACAAGGTTTTCATCACTACAAGGAAGACCTTGTGTTTAATTGGGTGGGCTTGGAAAGCTAGGCTTATATTAAATCATAAAAAAGATTGATATGAGGCATTTGATGCAGGATTTAAGGAATGAATGATCATGCACACTTTAATTAACCTGACAACAGTAGAAGTTTAATGCCTCAAGGTCTTTTTAACCACCTCAACTTTAAAACAAGAGGTGGGGCAAAATATAGAAGGTAGAATGAAGATTTAAGTACAGTTTCAGTGCATGAGTATTTCCTAAATCTTTGCTATTCAACTTGTTAGTGACCATGAAAGACTTCCTAAAATTTGTGCCTTTTTGAATTGTATGTTCTGATTGCCTAGTGCAAACATAGCTACCCTGATAGTAATTGTAATGGAAAGATAATATTTTCTCAACACTCTAGTTTGAATGTGATGTTTTGCCAATTAGATGCTCTCTGTTGAGTCTGAATCTCTTATATCACTTTGCAGGTATGATGTCGAGTCGTTCCTTGCTCACAGGTCTCTTAGTTCGGGGGAAACTGTAAGTATTTAAATCGTAACCTATTGCCTATTGATGATTATACTGCTGACTGCTTCCAATTTACAGTGGGCTGAACTCTGAGTCCATATAAATCTAACTGGAGACCAGACTATAGATTTAGAAAACAGTGTACAAAAGTCAGTCCTAATCATACATAAATTCATTAAATGGATTTTGTCATTTATTAAAGGAAGTTCGTGTCAGATTTGTTGGATTTGGAGCCGAAGAAGATGAGTGGGTCAATGTAAAAAGAGCAGTGCGAGAACGCTCTGTACCACTGGAGCATTCAGAATGTCAAAATTTGAAGGTTGGAGACCTTGTCCTCTGCTTCCAGGTAATTCCCGAAGTTGTAGTCTGTTTTGGTGTACTATAACCAACAGCAGTTTCAAGTTGGTAGTGTTCACGTTTTGGTGGTTTGGTAATAATTAGGAGAGGAGAGATCAAGCAATCTACTATGATGCTCATATTATTGAAATCCAAAGGAAAATGCACGATATAAGGGGATGCAGGTGTCTTTTCTCAATTCGATATAATCATGACAACATCGAGGCAAGTATTGTTCTTTTTTTCGATTCTGTCTTCAGGTATGTAACGGCTGATGTTATGATACTTAATTTCCTCCAGGAAAGAGTTCGATTGAGAAGATTGTGTCGAAGGCCAACACATTAGAGGTTCCATGCACTGTCGTAATGGTTTTTCACTAAAGCCAGCTCAGTTTTGTCAAATTTTTGTCCTCGAGCTGTGTGAGGGCATGAACTGGCACGAGTAGATGTCAATCTTTGCAAGGGAACTAATTAGTGTTGAGTACTACTGGCGAGTTGATGTGCGTTAGTCTTATGTGGTTGTGAGTTTGATGGATCACTCCAACCCTTTAATGAGAATTGTGATATTTGTCGGTGTAGTTCTGGCCTTCTAGGGTTGTTCTACCGTACTGTGGATGTATGGATACAGGCAGGTATAGAAAACGGATTCAAACCATGACTCGTTTTCGGTGGTCTGGCGGGGAAAAATGGGCAATGGGTACAAACACAAGGTGCCTGCCTACTTTCCATAAGCATTGTAGAAACTTCCATAATTCTAATGCGTTTCGCTTTCTTGGCTATACAATTTCCCAATGTGTGCCGTACCAAGCCCATTCCTTCCTCCCGTTCTCTATTAAAGCTATTAAATATATAGCCTATATAGCCAGGAATCTTCGAATCCAGAGCAGAGCAAAACCATTGAGCTTAAACCCATAAATTTTCAAATCAAAGCCCTAAACACAATGCAATGCAGGCGCCAAATTTCTGCGAGTTACCGTGCAATCCGCACTCGAAAATTATCAGTGTTTATCATTTGGTCCTATTTTTGGGGCGCCGCGAAGAGAAAGAGGGGGGGCGGGGGGGTGGGTGTGGTGTGTGTGGTGGTCCTAAATCCATTCAACATTTCCTCTATCAAACATCTCAACCCTAAACCTAAACTCTTCAGTAATCGCTTCATGGCTGGATGCTAATCGTCCTTTTTAAATTTTCTTTTGTGATTAAGGATGGCATTGATATTGAGAAAAATGTCTTAACAAAACCAAGTTGTCATATTGGGAAAGGAAAAGACTATCACAAAAATGGGTCGTTGCATATGATGTTTAAAAGTTACCGTCTCTCGAGTTATGCTATGGCCTACCAGCAGACGTCTGTCGCCAAAAGGGGAAGGAACCACAGTGATCAGAGTAAGTAATTTTTAGGGAGCTTACATTTAAACAGATGATGGCAACAATTGAAATCATTCTCACAGTAAAAATTTGATTATATTCGACAATTGTTTAACAACCATGCCTCGGCTGGTTCATGATAGATTCAATTCGTCTTCTGAAATGCCAATTCATGACCTGGCTGCATTTTCTGACCAGCCAGATTCAAGTCGGTCTGGTCAGTTCAATCTAGAAAATTCTGCACACCATTGCCATATTCCGGGCTAAGAAGGAGCCATTTTGTCTCTGCAACTGGAAATAAAACCAAATGGCTTGGGGAATTGAGAGGAACGTTGTAATTGTATGGGTGTACTGCATCATTCTTCTTCTGGACTGATATACAATTAAAATAAGAGCATAAATGAAATTTGCACAATATGCATAGTTCCTTAAACATTTTTTAAGAGGTTGTGTGCCGCTTAACTCAATCATGTCATTCGACTGAAAGCATCCATTACAACTTCCAAATTATAGGCTTGTAAAGGCTCATCATTCTTAAACTTGTTTTATTTCTTATTTTCCTACAAGCCGAACAATGCTTTTCGGCATATGCACACGTATACTCGTGATGCAAGATTCATTTTTCTAGCTCTTAATCTGTTCTATTGCATTTAACTACGTTTCTTATACCTAGAAAAAATCGGTTAACTTTCCTAAGCACTATCTAGAACGTTTAACCATTTCTCCCAACTAACATTCCCCATCCTGCTTCTGGTATCACTAACTTCAGTACTCTGTCCAATTATAACAGCTGAACAGGAGTTTCAGCAAAGAGACAAAATATTTATATAAGGCTAATACTAAACTTTGGTCTGTTTAGTTGGATACTTAATTATCAGTCCCGTGAAAAAGGTGCTTCGAACTAAAACCAACATTAATCCACAGTAATCTTATACACATTAAATCCATCAAAATGGAACAGAAACCAATGCGGATACTAGTTACACAATAAGACAAATTTGTACTTCTCTTGTGGTAATTACCAAGAGCAGGCTCATAAATGCAAGTTAGAAATGCATGAAAATGATGCAGTCACACAAAACGGCAGTCATGTCATGAAGTTTAACAGTAGTGGTTGGACAATTAATTATCGGTCCCGTGAAAAAGGTGCTTCAAACTAAAACCAACATTAATCCACAGTAATCTTATACACACTAAATCCATCAAAACGGAACAGAAACCAATGCGGATACTAGTTACACAATAAGACAAATTTGTACTTCTCTTGTGGTAATTACCAAGAGCAGGCTCATAAATGCAAGTTAGAAATGCATGAGAATGATGCAGTCACACAAAACGGCAGTCATGTCATGAAGTTTAACAGTAGTAGTTGGGGGGAATGTTAATAATACAAAGATATCATACCTTGTGGTTCGACAACTTCCACTTTCTCCAATAGAATCACCATGGCTGGATATGCAAGAACCACAAAGCCACACACACACATGCAGCTCACCTATATCTAATACAAAGACGGTGGTTTACAGCATATAAAACGATTAAAAAATGAAAAAAACGAAGAGACGACCGGAAAGAAGTGGTAAGGAGATTTAGCATAATAAAAGAACTGAGTGCTGTCTAATAGATAATGAAACCATATAGCTACAAAACCAGACAGAAAATCACAATATAAACTGCAATAAAGAGAAATTTGAATAAAATTTCCTTGTGACCTACAACTTACCAATGTTAAGATAGGTGGTCTTTCCTTTCTTGGCATCACGGGTCTTACTTCATCAATTGGTGCAATATAACCTTCCCTATTGTGGTTCTGCTTCAAAGACCTTGACCAAAATTATCAACTATTCAACCTGTGATATTCATTTATTCACTGAACATCTAGCATATTCATATCGCCAACTTTATGTGTAATACTGACATGAATTGGTCAGCAATGTATATAACCAATGGCTAGTAATTCAAAGGACACAAGCATTTGGAAAGAGGTCGAGACAAACAAAAAATAATTAAGAAACCATTACATACTCACGCTTTCAAGTATACAACTGTTTTCTGTTTTTCAGGTCAAACTGAGACATCTCATCTTAAAGTCCACAAAGGAGCTCTCTCACCCCCCGGGGAAAAAATGAAGAAAACTAAGTACAGACTTAAGGGCTCAGAATGTCCAGAAACACATCTAATCATAGAAGCACTTTCCCAAATTCTATCAATAATCAAAACATGACTTGTGCACATGCCTTCAACCGAGGAATTATTGCTCAGAAATATACAATCTTTCTAACGATAGGCAAGAATAAATAACTTCCCAATGGACATGAAAGATATAAATAAGCTCAAAAGATTGAAAAACAGTGCACAAGTACTTGTAACAGATGTATGTTATGGTGGCGATAAAGAAGAGTTTAGCGTACATCAACTCCCATATGCAAAGACCAATCAAATTTTCCGTGAGAGGATTTTTGCTTCTGAACAGTCACTAAATGGTAAAAGCTGGCTTGTGGTTCATAAAGGTGAATCGTCAGAATTTCATCAGTGGCATCCCAACATAACTTTGGCTGTTCATGAGACAGTTCGACCATAACAAATAGATGCAATATACAGATTTTTTGCCCATTTCTCCTGCACAATTTCCCACAGAAACTTGAGCCTTCAGAAAGAAGAATGAAATGGAAACCACAAACAGGAAGAAAATAATTAATAAAATAACCCACCTTAACATGAGTACTAGGAAAAGCAGAAGTTCGAAGCGTCTCTTGAGTTTCATCTGCCAGTTTTCTCCTCGGAACACTAAGGACAAAAGCTGCCTGATCCCAAGTTGCTGCAGTTGACGTGATGCGGAAACCATGATCCCACCTTCGATGAATGCCTTCACTTGGATACAGGAAATCTAGTTCCACAACCTGAAATTATTCATTTCAAGGGAGACAAAACACACTTATCAGAATCTTTTCTTCACCACCAAATGGTATTTCAACATACATATTTGGAAATCCAAATAAGACCTGGTCAGAAAATCCTGCACCACGGGACATAACAATAGCCCATCTACTCCCGGCAGTGGCCATTGCAGTAACATAAAATCCTTCCCTCCATTTTTTATTAATCCACTTGAAAGGAAATGACTCACTGACTTTATATGACTGCTGTAAGAATTGTGTCCCTATATGAAGCAATAGAGGTCAAGTTAGATGGCTAAATTGGTAAAGCAATCGAGCTATACAGATACAGATACTTGGACTAACCTTTAGACATTACAACTAATGAGCTTCCATTGCTAGTTCCTGCTATTGCGCTGATATAGTAGTTTTTGTCCCATTGCTCCATAATCCATTCCTTCAAAACCAGAGATAAATGACATGATTGATGTATCTCCTTACACAGGCAATCATAATAATCCATGTGGCGTAGTATAAATTATAAAAGAAATAATTTGATGCATAAAAACAACAATGCTAGTTGCAAAAGCTAGCTAAATCCAAATCTTCGATAGACAACCATTCTAGATTTAATGGAACACAAACCTTATGAAGAAAATAGGGAGAAAGTTCATAAACTTGGGAACTGAAGCCAGTGCCAGCATCCATTATAAGAGCCCAAAGATTTGAACAGGAAGCCACACTGCTAATAAATAACCCATCCTCATTTCCTTTCTCAATGTGTTGGGAGAGCCTCACATCCGCAACATTATAGTGATATCTACGAGAGATGGAAACATCTACTTAGTTCACTTCTAGGTCAAATTTGAATTACAGAGTCCAGTATGTAACTTTAATGAATATACCTTTGCTTCATAGGCCTACGAGCATTGTATACACTAATCCATTGTGTTGCAGGCATCCCCATACGAATCTTCTTCTTTGGTTGCTCATCATCCTCCTCCTCCATGGTCAATCTTCCTCTCTTTTGTCCAACCTGACATATAAGCTTTACAATGCAACAAATATAAGTTAGATGATTTTGAAGCCAAGGTCCATAAGTAATGGTACCTAAAAACAGTCTGTATAGATGCAAGAACATTAAAAGTACCTTCTGAGCACCATCAGTATTTATTGGCCTGATATCTGGATTTGGACCAACAATCCCATCAAAAAGGGATATATATTTTGCATAGTTCGGTTCTTCGTCAAACTTCAAATTCACCACATACTCAAGAAACTGTCTGAATGGTTGAGGGCAGAAGCAACAGAGAGTTTCTGGGGAAGTGACCATCTTTTTCTTGCAGACAAGGAATCCTTTATTTTCTCCCTAACAAAAATATTGTGTTAGAGTGACATACACTATTAAATAGAAGCATATGCCTACTCAAATTCTGGAAATTATGAACCTGATATCCTTGCCATGGCAACCGGCCACGAAGAAGAAATATCAGTGTGTAAGCTAGAGATTCCAAGTCATCTCGCCTGCTGCCAGTTCTACCAAGATGAGCATGCACACTTGCATACCTTACCGTTCCCCTGCAGCACATTAATGATCAGTATACAAATCAGTTGGTTTTTGTTTTTTGGTTTAGTTGCTAGGGTAAATCACATTTTATGGTCAAATAATTAACCAGCATTTATTTCACCTGAAAACATCTGGTCGTTGATCATAGTCAACATGCTGGCCAGTCGAATCTCGCCACCTGGTGGCTGTCAAGTCAAAACAGGCAACAAGATGATAAGGTATTAGGTACACTACTCAGACAAGTAATTTCGGCTGTAAGTAGGATCATATAACTACGACTTACCTAATCCAAGGTCAACAAGAAACAGCTTCTTCTCCTCAAGAGTACCAGGGGGACCAAGCAAAAAGTTCTCAGGTTTCACATCCCCATGTACATATCTGTCATGAACACCATGGAGAGCAACTCAATATTGCCATTTTATTTCATTTATGGGAAACCAGGTTAACAGGAATTCAACATATTGCTCGTCACTCATCTACATATACCATAATAAACAGACATCCATCATGCACTAAAATGAGGCATTGATATAGGAAAGAAGTATCAGGATGTTGTGGCACTGACACAGCCCACATGGCACAATTAGAGGGATTAGAATATGAAGATTTGAATTACATCAAATAACTCTCTGACCAATGGAATTCTATCTTCACAAAAAACAAGTGAACTAAATTTGCAATGATCTCAACGTAACTACTAATTATATTGAAAAGAAAAAAACTAATCATCAGAAAATTTGAAATAAAATTATCACCCTCTAGAGTGCATCTTCTCCAATATGGATATTGCCTCAATGGCAATACACGCAACCATTTCAATTGACATCCTGAAATTGAAAAGGTAGAAGTGAGTGTTAGAGCAGCAGACCACGATATAAGTGTTGCAAGAAGAAAATGAAAATACCTTCCTTATTTTCTGTATAAAGACGGGAGAAACTTACGTGTGTGAGCTGTTATTCCAGACATCCCACAAGCTAGGTCCAAGCATATCCATCACCTGTACACAAAATATGGCTGATTCCATAAATTCTCAAACTTGGCTAATTAGAAACTACAATTAAAATGAAATTTGGGCAAACAACTCATACCATGATGTAGTAGTCAGCTTGACGGCCCTTATAATGAACTCGTGGCACCCCATGACTACCGCCAAGTGCACTGTATAGACATAAGATTAAGTAAGAGTTACAATATAAGACTGGGAAGGTGAGAATGTGATTTGTATAGAACGAACACACTACAAGGGAAGATAGGAGCATCTCACTTGTAAATTTGCCATTCGTAAGGTGGGCCATAGTTACATCCTTTGCTGCTTCTATGCTCAAATTTCAACGCAACCTAAAATTTAGATCAAACAGCTATGTTAACAATACAAACCCAACATAACGTCTTTCTTCTTTTCAGAAACAAATTATACAATGATGTTATGCCATAAAGAAGATGATTGCACACCTCAACAGCTCCAGGGCCAGTCCCCATGCGTCGACCTACATACACTTGTCCAAAGCCTCCTTTCCCCAATTTCTTTTCTATTTTGTATACTGGGGAACCACCAACCTGGACCTGTTGTCAATAAATCGAAGAATGAATATAAAACAATTAGCAAAAAACCATGATATGCTATAATGCTAAATAGTTCGCAGTGCAAACACAATGTTAAGAAAGAAACTGCACGTTGTTGCCACGCCCCACTCACAAAGAATTCACAGCCCAAATCGACATATTAAGACTAATAAACAAAAAAATATATTTTGAATTTTGAATTTTGAATTTTGAATTTTTCTTCTACTTCTCAGTTCAAAAAATGGCAATGAGAAAAAAAAATAGACAAAATTGTATATCTTCCCTTCATTTTCTCAGCTTACTCATTATCCAAACGTAAAGTAACAGGAAAATATAGAAAAGTAAAAAGTGAAATGCAATGAGAGGCAGTGAAAGGGAGACTGACCTTCTCGGGAATAGGAGCTAAGCCCTCATCCTCAGCTCCGGGACCTTTATCGGCACTGCGGCCACCGCTATCGTACTCATCCATGGCTCCCTCACCACCAGCCTGTTCTTCGTCTAACTTAAACGACCTCGTTTCAATGACCGGACCAGCCCTCGCCCTCCTCCTCTTGCCGACACCAACTGCCTTCTTTTCCTTATTCTTCTTGTTCTGTGCGGTCCTACTCTTCCGCACAGTTAGCTTCTGAGGTGGTTGAGGCTGAGGCTGGGTGATCGGGTTCGGGTTCTGGCTCAGAATCGGGTCGGCGTTTTTGGGTGCCCGGGTTCTGCGTGGTCTGCTACGCAGCTCAGGCATGGTAAGGGTGGCGGTGGTCCATGAAGAGAGCAGCGAAACGAGCCTTACCGGGAAGGTTCATGGAAGTTTCTAGAATCATCCGCGCACAGAAAATGGATCAGTGTGAATTGTTGAGAGGGAGTGTGGGACGATGAATTTAGGGTTGGAGAGAGGGAATTTGGAGATCTGTGGAGGGAAACGAATTGGAAAGAAGAAGGGGATTCTAGATTTTCTACAGCGGAGGAGCGAAAGAGAAAATAAACAGATATAGAGAGAGAGAGAGAGAGAGAGAGAGAGAGGCAAAATAGAAAAGAAGCTTTTCAGGCTCCTATTTTGTAAATTTCTTTATATATATGTTTTAGGAACGTAAAGTATGCTTAAAATTTTGTAACTAACTGTTTTTTCTTATTTGGATAAGAAATTATACGATTTATTATTCACTGGGGGTTTTAAGATAAAGGAGAAAATATATAATTTAAAATGGGGGGTCTTGTGGCAAAAAATAACTTCAATGTGGGAAAATTTTCAATATAAAATTTGGAAAGGCTCACAGTGCTCCCTCTTTAAAGAAGGTTGAAGTTGGAAGGACGGAGGACCGGAGGAGATGGGTTAAACTCAAATTATTTTTGAATTGTTGTAGCAAAAACTAAAGTTTTATTGACTAAAATTATCAAACCCGTGAAAATAAATGGACCCTTTTACTTCTATGCATTAGTATTAATTAATTAATAGCTAACATCTGCATTTTACCTCAACACACCCTAGCGGATTATGTTTGCAACTTTATTTTTCAATTTATGATGTCGCGAGGATTTGAATCACTACAGTAGTAGGTAGAGGTGGGCACGATCCGGATTGGATTGGTTTTATCTCAAAACCACGGCCGAACCAATTACAATATGACAATTTGATTCAGTTCGATTTGGATAAAAGTTATAAAGAAAACCGAACCAAACCAAACCAATTTAAAACGATTTGGTTCGGCCGGTTTGGGCCCAAACCCAATTATCTTTCTTTTCTCATTTTTTCAACATTGTTAGCCCAATTATAACCAACAAATTCAGAACTTGCTTCATAGATAATTCATTTTCTAGAGTACAAAACCATCCTAAAGCTCAAAATGTCATAAAACTTTATATTTCACTAACTAATATAGCTTAGTTCAAATATTCATATATAGTTATTAACTAATTAGAGTATTACACATGTATAAAAAAAATATAAATAAATAAATGGGAGTTTCACTAAAACACCCAAAATGGGGGCTGAAATTATAAAAAAACCCAACACTCAAAACACTTTATGAACACACCCAAAACCCATCATTACACACACTCAAAACTCATTTAGAAACACACTCAAAAAATATACAATTGTTGATTTTGGGTGTGTTTATATGTTTAAATAGTGCTTGGGTTTTTTTATAAATACATGTCTAGGATTAGGTTTATTTATAAATTTGTATAAATAAATATACACATAAACGATCCGATTTGGTTTAGGCTAGTTTATAAAAGCTAAAAACCAAATTAAACCAAACTATATACGGTTCGGTTCAATTTTTAAATTATTTAACTTGTTCTTAATTAAAACTAAACCAAACCGGTAATTATAATTTAATTCGACTGGTTTCATCGATTTGGCCGGATTGATGCCAACCCCTGGTAGTGGGTCTTGCAATTATGTTCAATATTATAGATATACATCTATTCAAATATCAATTCATATGGACCACAAATACTAAAAGAAATAAAGCCCACTTTTCTATGAAGCCCATCAGTGATTCTGGGACCCAAGAGGAAAACTCCTTTCACAAGTAACGAGCTCATGCCTCGTCCTCAACACTCCAATTGCATTCAAGTGTATTTCTTAGGGTTTTGGAAAACTCAATAGAAAAACCAAGGAAGATGAGCAAATCCCAGAAAAGAAAGCGCAACAAGTTGGAGGTATGTGATATGAGTGTCTTCTAATTAACTTGACTTGGAAATTCCAACGGGTTCCATATTGAACTTTGCTGCCGCACGTATTTATTCTTCTTTTTTACTGATATATATCCTTGTTTATTATGTAGGTTGAATCCAAATATGCAAAACGCAGGAAAGCTATACAATTCCCAAAAGCTGGATTTAAAAAGAATAACGGTGACTGTGCTTGTAGTGATCAAACTGAGCCTGATCATCAGTTAGAAAAAACTCAATCAAGGCAGGATTTGGATGAGATTCATGAGGTGTGCAATCAATTATAGTTGAAGAATATGATTTGTGAACCAATATTGTGAATTCTAGCTAAGGTTTTTTGTTTGTTTTTGGGTTTTGTAAATTGTATGGCATGAAATCTGAAACTGTTTATATGTATATTTTGTTCTTCTGACAGGACAAAGTAAAAGAGAGCCCAAAAGTAAATTCCAGCAGCAGAGCAAGTGAATTATCAGAATTTCCTGGAGCAAGGCCTCTAATTACACCAACTATAGTGCATGTATCAAGGCCTGATGAAGTTGAAGAAGCAAGGAAGGATCTTCCAATAGTAATGATGGAGCAGGAGATCATGGAGGCCATTAATGAAAATTCCACTGTGATTATACGTGGAGAGACTGGATGTGGTAAAACAACCCAAGTTCCTCAGGTGGGTTTGTTGGCATTCTTGTTCTAAGGCATTGTTTAGAAGTGATTGTGGAAGAATTAAAAGCGTTTTTTGACAATCAAAAGCATTCTGACTGCTTATTAATATTATTAGTTTATATGCTTGATTTTCCCAGTAATGATTGTTTTTATATGTCTAATTTTTTTTAAAGTCATCTTGAACGTTCTAAATTCTGCATTTGGGTTGACATGTTGCAGTTTCTTTTTGAAGCTGGCTATGGTTCAAGCCACTCTAATTCTGCCCGAAGTGGTATTATTGGTGTAACTCAACCCCGCCGTGTTGCAGCCTATGCCACGGCTGAGCGAGTGGCGTATGAGCTTGGACTGAATTTAGGTAAAGAGGTCGGCTTTCAAGTTAGACATGACAAAAGGATGAGTAAAAGTAGTTGCTCCATCAAATTCATGACAGACGGAATATTACTACAAGAACTCAAGGTACTTTAAGCAAATGATATATTTTTAATATCCATGTCATGTTTTGAACATTTATAAGCATCAAATAATCAACTTCCTGCTTTTAGTATGCTTCCTCTGGTAATGAAACCCTATGGAGTATGCGTAATTAAACTGAGTCATCTTTGTGTAATGTAGTTTTTTTTTTTCAAATTGTGCAGAGTGATTTTTTGCTGAAGCAATACGCTGTCATAATTCTTGATGAAGTCCATGTGCGGAGCTCGAACACCGACATACTTATCGGAATGCTTTCACGTGTTATTGTACAGCGTCAGGTGAGCTAGAGAGCAGTGCTTATGGCTAAAAGTTTTATTAATCAAGGTTAATTTCTCATAATCTTTTGCATGTGATGGCAGAAAGAATATGAAAACCAGCAAAAGGCGGTGCTTTTGGGGAAAAACGTAAGTCGTGAACAACAGATCTTCCCTTTAAAGCTTGTGCTGATGAGTGCCACCTTGCGAGAAGACTTTATCAGAAAGCTGTTTGGTGAAACCCCGATCATAGAAGTTCCCACTAGACAATTTTCAGTAAAAGCTTACTACGAAAACAGAACCGAGGAAGAAGGGGATTATGTTGAGAAAGCATGTAAAAAAGTCTTGAAGATTCACAAGAGACTGCCACATGGGGGCATACTTGTGTTTGTCACTGGGAAGCGAGAAGTTGAGCGCTTGTGTCGAAAGCTACAAGGAGCTTCAAGGGCACTTATGAAAAGATCAGTTGAGAGTGATACTGATGAAGTTTCTGATATTGATTCTGTTGAGGATGAGTTGGAGGGTTATTCGCATGATTCAGAAACAGAAAGTGAACGAGAATTTTTTCGCGATGACGATAGGGATTCATTGTGCCAAGATACCCCAGGATTAGTTGATGGAACTGTGGCCGAGGTTGTAGGAGAGGATGGTAGCATTGTATCACCGAAAGCTGGTTTCGATTCTTGGGCTGGAAAATCTTCATTGTGCTGCAATTCAGCTGGGAAAAAGGGTAGTTTTCTAGGCGCACTGCATGTTGTCCCTCTTTATGCCAGGCTGAATGCAGAAGCTCAACTTACAGAAATAGAAAAAGTGAAGGAGGGAGAACGGCTTGTTGTTGTAGGCACAAATGTGGCTGAAACCTCTTTAACTATAAGCGGGATAAAGTATGTTGTTGATACTGGGAAAGAGAAAGTGAAGGAATACAATTCAAATGGCATGGAAACATATAAAATACAGTGGATTAGCAAGGCATCAGCTGATCAGCGTAAAGGAAGAGCTGGAAGAACAGGACCTGGCCACTGTTACCGCCTGTATTCTCAAGCAGTGTATTATAACAAATTCCCTGATTTTTCCGCACCCGAAATATCCAAAGTCCCCTTTGATGGTGTTGCCCTTCTTCTGAAGTCTATGAATATTCTTAAGGTGGATCCAAATTCATATTCTTTTGTTCAGCATTTTAGATCCTTTTATTTTATTTTATTAATGCAAGCTATAGTAAGGAGCAAAGATTCGAACACAATATCTCAGGTGCAGGGGTAACTGCACAACGATTTTGATGGTTCTTACTATATAGCAGGGGTTCTTAGGCAGTGAATATTATATGTTTTATTTTGCTACCATTGGGTTATTTGCTCCTTTACGTTCCACAATAAAATGCCTTGTGTTTTCTCTTTTACATCTGTATTGCTCTTGTAACGTATGACCTTTTACTTCTGTGCATCCCAGATATCCAATTTTCCATTTCCAACTCCTCCAGAGGCTGGTGCTGTGGATGAAGCAGAGTGTCTCTTGACGGCCCTTGAAGCAAGTGACACAAATGGAAGATTAACACCTTTAGGGCATTCCATGGCTTGTTATCCCCTGCGTCCTCGTCACTCTCGGATGCTCCTTACGATTTTTCAAATCATGAGTAAACAGAAAAATCATGCTCGAGCTAATTTGGTGTTAGCATATGCAGTTGCAGCAGTTGCATCTTTGAGTTGTTCAAATCCTTTTCTCAGGCAGTTTGAAGATATTCACACTACAAACCATGAAATTGTTTGCAGCGATGCGCCTTTCGAGCATTCAAATCAAGAGAAGTTGACAAGGAAGAAACTAAAAGAAACTCTAAAAGTGCCTCGTGAAAGGTTTTTCAATCCCAGCAGTGATGCTCTGTCCAGAGCCTATGCTTTGCAGTGCTATGAAATATCTAAGAGGCCAGTGGAATTCTGCAATGACAATGCTCTGCACCCGAAAACCATGGAAGAAATATC